TTACTTTGCGACATTTTTCACATCGTATCCTTTGATGATCGTGCCGTATCCGGCTGCCACAGCTGCAGTGAGTAGCAGACGAGGTCGTCCGGTTTTAGTACCTTCAAGCTTGAACGCGTCTGACATTTCCTAGTGAACAACGGAAAGCAGTAGATTAAAATACGATCACCAAGCCCTGCGTATCCTTTGTACCTGGATCAACAGTATGAAGTTATCTTTGTCCGTCTGTGTGTCCGGGTACTCCCAATCAAGGTCGAAACCGTCAAAGTTGTGACTCCGTACAAAACTGATCGTCGAATCGATGAACACCTGCCGAGTGGCCTTGGATGCTGACATCGACTTGAACAGCCTGAAAAGTGCGATATGCATGGCCACTGTAGATTACGGTAAGCCATCAACATACAGTGAAAAATGCTAAACTGTTCGTATTTTTTATGTGGAAATGATGGTTTAAAGGTACTGCCTTGTGTTTACCCTGATTAATCACTGCCTTGTACGTTTGTATCATACGTATGATCCTCATCTTTATACATAGAACAGCTAAGAAGTTCATCAGTTCTAAGAGGTACCAACCAGTGCGAAACTATATGAATCATTTTCATTGCTTCAGGAACAACAAACCTCGTGGTATAAAAATAATGGGCAAGAACAGACATCAGTTGCACAATGAATCCTACTATAGATCCAAACCACGTGCACCTCTGCTCTGGTTGTCAACACCTAATCTGAAAAGGCATGCTCGAAGCAGATTTGCAATGGTTATGAGATATCTCATTCAAGGATGAATTAGGACATGCTTTAAATTATAACTTTGCCTGCTGTCAAGATGATACCATTAGATTTAGAATTACTGTGGTATTAACTTATGAGGGTAAGCACATAATACGGAAAGGACAGCCTTTCCATTTCACTGGTTCGATGAACAAAAGAATCTAAATGAGTCTGCTGACAACAGGAAACAATCTTTAACTCAATATGCAAGTTGGCCAATATCATTTGAAGATAAACTGGTATACTTATTGCTATATTTTACAGTACGCTGAGCATGGCTCTAAGAGTTGGTGATTTGTATAAGAGAGTGCAATATACGGAACAATCTCATAAGAAACAAGAATGCAATCTATGTATTAATCTTTATATCATTTTGTTTCACTGCATTTACCTCGTTCCGAATGTCCATCCACCAAGCGACAGCAGTGTTTTCAAGTCTGGCTGGACCCTTTTGTGATCGTTCATCAATTCGTAAAGGCCTTTGCTCCAGGCCGTAGATTCATCGTTCCACTCGTAGCTTCTAAAAGGCAAACAATAATTAATAATATGATTTATTATTAAGTAACTTCCAAAATGTCAAACAGAATATTTATACAATACAGAAATCCAAGATTTCAAAGCTTCTAACTGGTAGGCAGTACCAGAGACAGCATTTCCATAAAATTCGCTGGTAAAAAACTATACAAAATTCCGTGAAGTTTATAGTCAGTTGAATGAATATCATAAAAATGTATAAGGGAGTCAAAATGGTGAATATCCGAAAGCTTTGGTGAGTTCATCGATCAAAGATCAAAATCGTTTGTGGCGGTTCCTTTAATCTCTGTGCATGGCTACCGTTTGACTTGACGAAGAGTCAGACTAACAACAGCCAGATATAAGCCAGCTGTTGCCACGCGCGAGGATTCCAGCGTTGATATATACATCGACGCAACCAGGTAGAAACTGCAGCAGCCATCGAAGCTGATTCGCCCATGGGCATGTCGAGAAAGGAGCTACCTGCGTCTGACATGCGATTGGTCAATTGGCGCTCAGCTGGAAGGATCGTCCAATCAATTGAAAGTCACCAGCCCTTTGACAGTATCACTAGTTACAAAAGACGCCGTATCTGTTGATCGAACATATATTGACGATGGATTTTGTACCTACGCATATCCACCGAAATGACCCTTTAGCGACGGAGCCTCGGTGGAATGTTGTGCTTGCATGAAGCTAACAACGATAACGGTTTTACGCATGAATCAACAGAGCCACAAACAGTACCTCAGCTCAGCAAATTTCAAGGAGTGAGAAAGTTCACTCACTACCAGATTCTAAATTGCATTGCCGCCTCTTTGCTCCAACTTGCATTAGAGATCATTTAAACAAACCACGGCTCCATAGTTCTGGAGCGCTCCAGTTGCGGAGGCACGCCGCATCGTCTCGTTCGCCACAACAATCTCGTCACAAAACGACGGTTTAGGAGGTGGTACTCTTAACGCATGAACGACGAAGAATGCGAATTCTCAAGGACCACTTGAAAAACTATTAATTACGATTTTGTGTGACACAATTCATAGGCCTGGCCTGTAATATCATAACTTATAAAAAGTAAAGGCAACATTTAAAATAGGGGTTTGACAACCATGTTGGAAACTCGTTAATCATCTACAAAACTTTTAACTATTATCCAGTCAACGATACAGTAACCCTGCAATGACGGTTGTAGCGGATCGCATTAGGTCGAGAAATACGGCCTAGTGCTTCTCCCGTGCTATCAAATTTCCATGAAAACCTGTCAAGAACATCCGAAAATGATCCATTCATTATGCTGCAATACTCGGTGTAAAGTGGCATGTTTTTTTCACCCCTTGAAGGTAAATTTACCCAACTCTGACATAACCCCACCGTCCGCTGAAGACAGTGTGAAAGCTTCTCCTATCATACTGCAGTTAACTGAGTAGAACTTCAGGCAGTTCGGCAGAGTACGGCGAATGGGAATTTCCATAGAAGCTGAGACCTTCATGAAACCTGAAGATGTCCAATAATGAGACAGGGTTTAGACTGAATTATGAGATGTCGTTGTGCCTTGAAGGCAAACAAGAGTCAACAATATCATTACACTGGTGAAGAAAGTGGAGTGGCAATGGGCAGGACACGTTACAAGCAGAAGCGACAATCATTGGACCAAGCAAATTCTAGACTACGTCTCAGGATACAGTAAAGATCCCGTGATAATATTTTCAGATCGATGTCAAGATGACCTGAAAAAGTTCTTCGACCAAGCGCGATGAGAATCTCAAAGAACAGAAGTTCATGGCAAAGTTATGAAAAAGCATCTTTCAACAGTTGGTCGAAAACGGCTGATGATGATATCATGTTCAAAAAGCATAATGGGTGTTTTTGGTCAACAATTTTAACTATTAATAGTCAAAAATAATCGAATGGGTTTACCGAACGGTGTAGTTTTCGTTCATCCAGGCGAAAGCGTAAAATATGTGCGTGCACAGTCCTGGTATGTAATGGCTCGGTTCGTATTTTCCTGTGCCTGGCCGATATTGAGCCCAGTTTGTGAAATAGCATCCGCGGATAAAGGTTTCGGCTTTGTCATCGTCCGGCGCACCTTGAAAAATCTTTAGTCAGTGATTCATCAATACAGCATATCTTTGCCCATAACGCAGATTTTGGACGGTTACGTCAGAGAGAGGAAAAGATCAAAATATGGAATAATATCATAGAGTAAAATTTTTATGTCGCTGTCTTTTCGAGTACTGTGAACTGTGGCATCGGACAGTACCGAAACGTCCGAGACTTTACATTGATGCTTTTACGAGAGACGACGTGAGTCTGAGGCGAAGTGAATTGATACGTGTGCTCGGAACTGCTTCAGAGCTTCCTCAGAGTGATATGTTCTTTGGACGAACCTGCGACAGTTATTAGATATTCAGTAGGGAAGCATCACAATGCGTATTCTTATTTAAGACAAAGAAGCTGACCTTGAATTCATTTAATGACCAAAAAGCAATAATGGAAGATTTCCTGATGCCCTACATGCTGAATCTGCTTTAGGATTTTATAGTCACAGTAAATACCATAGGTTTCCAATAAAACTAGGCCACGTGCATTGAGGGCAGTGCAATTATCGAAAGTTATTTCGGTTCGATCTTCGAGCGGGTTACCAAGGGGTGCGCAGACAGACTGCGAAACATGATCACAAATCACCTCCTTTACGAATCTGGCAGCTGAGGCATTGCAGCATGTCGACGGCTGGAGAAAATTGACCAATCAGCAACGGAGACGCTGATCGTTCTGAACGAATGACGGCGACAGCGCAATGCCTTTATGACACGTCACATGAGGCTCGGCGGCAACGACACCTAGTGTGAGAGTGTACACTCGGAAACGGGAATAACCCTGCACTCAGAGGAAAATGCAGGAGCTATTTCATAAGGCTTCAAGATACCAAGTGAACATAATTAGACCCTCGTCAACGATGGTCCCGCGCCAGGTCTCTGGATTTCTGAACCTCTGTGGACGGAAGCTATTCCACTTGACGTGTCGACTCCAACGCACGCGCTCACGCTGTGTTAATGAGAGAATCATTGAACGGAATCTTCCCAGCGGAGGAGTGGCTATCGTCCAGCTGAGGTCACAATGTGCCAAAGCTTTGACATTGTTATGGGCAAAACTCAGACGAAGAATATGCGTATGGTAGCAAGGTTCGGTACGAAATGTTAACAACGGAATCCATAGATCTACTGGCGATTTCAACGTGCAATGGAAAGAACGAAGTTAAAGATCTGAACAACAACGGCTTGACGTTGTTGTGGTTTTGTCGAAACAACGAATTGTGTTACGTCGTTTCTGAAACCCTCCAGGATAAAGGATGAAACACCATGCGATTCAAGTGGGAGACATGTCTTCTGGGGACACGTGGGCGAAACTTACACACATCGCAAGAGAGTCTGTACAGATGCCGGGATGACCGCTGTTGAGAACAGAATGGAAGCTGTTTAAGAGCAGATCTCACGGTGCGAGATGGCCTACTGTCTGGAGGTCAGAAACGAATTTCCTAATGGAACGCAAGGCATGACTCACTGTCACAGCGACGAGGGACATTTAAGAGATAGCGTAGCTTTTAAGCATAGGAGTTTCAACTCGAATGTAGTAGAGCATGTATGCAAGGTTGGAACGAAAGCTGATTCCTGGAACGAGTTAGGTGAAGTGCTGGAGTCCAGTTTCCAGAGGGCAAAGAGGATTTTCTGGCAGGCCACCGGTAGCCTTTAAGATGCAAAGGCGATTACTCTAGAAGTCCTGAAGGGCAGGTCTGAGGGCCGTCTTACCAAGGACGAGGATATGCTTTGGCGCTAGAGAGAGAGTACCTCGTGGAACTCCTTAGCCCCGTGCAACCGCGAAAGACTCGCCTAATGAGCATAAATAAGGCTTATCATACTAACCTCTGAGTATTTTCGTTATCGACGTGGGCAGAGCCAGCACATAACCAACTGATAAAACGTAAAACAGAATCGCCTGAAACAAAAAAGTACAAATAAGTTATCAGATATCATTCAGAAAGGTATAGGAACACTTTTGGGTGTCCATATGATTTTTTCTGATGAATTACTGCATGGTAATAACTTACTGGGCATACGTAAACGACGAACACCACCGACAATGCAAAGCAGGGACATTCTGTCTGTGCTCGAAACGTGCTCGAAGTCATGATGGCAAACAATTACGCAAAACTTGACTAATTAAACAAGCTAGTCATCAAAATGGAAAACAGTAATATTGTTAATAATGGCACAATACTATGCAAATTATGGGCAACTTGATTATAGATGAGAGAAATAGTGAAAACTGAGTTTCAAATCACACCCATTTAAAATGAATATGGTAGGAAAGAAAAGGAGAAAGAGTTCACGATGATCATGAGGATTGCACAGATGACGAAGACGACTACCATTCTGATCAACTTTCGGCTATTCATGTGATACAAGGTAAGAAATGATGTGACACTGCATATTCTCAGAAAGTCTTAATTTTTCTCCACTTCACATTATATACCTGTATGTAAGTGAGGTCTTGGCAAACATTTTCATTTTTATTTGATTAGAATTTTTTCACTGAATAATTATTATATTCGAGGTGCAGATCAACGAAAATGTGCAACTGTATCAGCACTCTCAAACAGTAAGACGGACTCTCAACAGTGATCTGATTTTTGCTCAAAATGAAACATGAATTAAATTAGTTGAAAATTCACCATTTTGATGAAATATTCTGCCCTTTCGATTTGTATTCTTCAGTTCGTTTCCTTCTAATTTTCCTATATATGTAATTGTTCACTCTACGATGCAGTACCCGCTGTCTTATAACAAAAATGCAGTCGATCTGTGAATTGAACGGGCATGGCAATCTACAGAACTTCTGCATGTGCAAACGGCTTGTGGTATTGACCTCAACAAATAAAAACAGCCAGCTACCTTCGCTAATAAATAAAGCCAGTTTCTGATAATCCCATTTCACAGTCCAGAACCATGAAAGATGACAGTGATGTAAACTGGTGGTATTTCGATGAATTACTGGAAACAGGTAGTATAATTTTGCGTTAAATGGGGCAACAAAATATCATTAAATAGATATTCATTTTTGCCACTATCATTACTACTCAACGCAATGTGTAATTTAACAGAAGCTCAATCGCAATCGTACACCGAATCTCTGATGTGACACTTCTTTTTAAAAATTCCAAAAATATTAATAACAGAATATGACAAATATACATTTGAAAAAGAATTTAAAAGTAGGAGTTGCAAACACTGAACATCTACCGGAAAAATCGAAGTTCTCCTTACTTTCATGTTACTGCCAACTGATTCCGCAGATGACGTCCGAAGCCGCAACACTGTTCAAAACAAAGTCCCGTTATGATGTGAATACATATATATATACCTATGGGACGTGCACGTACGATAAGACTAAATGACCAGAGGTCAGCCTCGCGGTCTCTGGTTTGATCTCGAGGCCGGTTCGCTCACATGACCTTCGTTGTTGCCCTCCAGGATCAGTGAACGAATCGCTCGACCCACTGGTGAAGAACACGGTGACGACTGCCGGCGGTTGTTCTTTGTTAAACTGAATGCCGGGGTTGTCACACTCTCTGCATCCACCATTACACTTTGCGCCAAAAATTTTTATTATCACAGCAATAAAAACATGGTGACTTTTTTGCATGACGGCACGTCACCTGGATAAAGCTGTTATGCTCATTTCTGTCTACGAAAAGCGGATTCTTTTTGCACGCATCATTGTAGCGATCGATCGAGTAGTTGATGAGGTCAAAACTCCGGCACACGTTTGTTAAATTGTAGGAACAGCCACCATAGCTTATCGCATACAGGAGACCAATGTCATGGCCACCA